GGAGGAGGAAGAAGAGGGGGGAGCAGGGGAGGAGGAAGAAGAGGAGGAAGGAGGGGAGGAGGAGGAAGAAGAGGGGGAAGCAGGAGAGGAAGGAGAGGGGGAGGGAGAAGAGGAGGTAGGGGAGGAAGAGGAGGAATGGGAAGGAGAGGGGGAAGAGGAGGAAGAAGAGGAGGAGAAGAAAGAAGGGGAGGGGGACCAGGAAGGAGAGGAGGAAGGGGAGGGGGAAGAAACAGAGTGGGGAATGAGGGAGAGGGAAGAGGAGGATACCGAGGAAGAAGAGGGGAAATACGAGGAGACAGGAGATGCAGAGAGTGGAAAGCAGGGAAGGCTGGGGGAAGGAGAAGAGTCCAACAAAGCAAGCAAAGTCAGAGGATCTGTGAGATACGGCAAAGATAAGGCGCACCCCCTAAAGTTTCTCACTAACACAGAGGGGGAAGGGAAAAAACACGAGGTACAGAGGTTCAAAATGCCAGTGCGGTCAAAACAACTTTTAGAAAATGGGCCACCGGGTTCCAAAAAATTCTGGAATAATGTATTACCACATTATTTAGAATTGAAGTAACAAACTTGAAGTTTGAAAGTTTGTTAAACTTTTTAGATTTTTAAAAATTTAAATTTTAAATTTTTTTAAAAGATTTTATTTATTTATTTGTCAGAGAGAGAGAGGGAGAGAGAGCAAGCACAGGCAGACAGAGTGGCAGGCAGAGGCAGAGGAAGAAGCAGGCTCCCTGATGAGCAAGGAGCCCGATGTGGGACTCGATCCCAGGACGCTGGGATCATGACCTGAGCCGAAGGCAGCTGCTTAACCAACTGAGCCACCCAGGCGTCCCTTAAATTTTAAATTTAACAACCTTTAAATTTAAAACTGTTGGCCAGCCAACAGTTTGAGCATCTTACACGTAATAGGCATTTAATACGTTTTATTAAATTGCTTTTTTGTCATGGTTACTGTATCTGTAGTACAGTAACGACTGATAAAGACAACACAAAGCATTGGCAAATTTGGCTTCTCTTTAGTATTTGGTTATATTTTCCCCCCAAATTATAAATCTGTCACTAGGAAATATGAAAAGGTCATAGCAGATAATTAACATGATATATTCCCCAGTAAAGACAGATTTAGGAAATAGGAGTATAGTATAAGAATGTTGCATTTATGCATATAAACTGGTCCCTTTAAAGATGGCACAGATCCTAAAGGGCTAGAAAAGCATTTCTTAGGAATTCTTTTTGATCTCTGATTACAATTAGAATAGGTTTATAAGGTGGATGGTATTGTAAAGCTGAAGTGAAGAATTCACATTTTTTTTTTAAAGTGCTTCTTTTTTTAGAACCTTTTATGTGCCCTTTTTGCAACAATCTACAAGTGTCAGCTAGATTCAGAGCTTAGATTTTTTTTTTTTTTTTTAAAGATTTTATTTATTTATTCGACAGAGAGAGATCACAAGTAGGCAGAGAGGCTGGCAGAGAGAGAGAGGAGGAAGCAGGCTCCCCGCCAAGCAGAGAGCCCGACGCGGGGCTCGATCCCAGGACCCGGGGATCACAACCTGAGCTGAAGGCAGAGGCTTTAACCCTCTGAGCCACCCAGGCGCCCCCAGAGCTTAGATCTTAATGTGATGGCTTTTAGTTACTGTCTGGGCCAATGGCAGTGTATCCCATGAAATAGAGGTGAACCTGAACATATATTCAGGAAGCATGTAAAACTTCTAAGTGCTTATTGGCCAGACAGAGCGCCTCACTTTTTTTTTTTTTAAAGATTTTACCCATTTATTTGACAGATCACAAATAGGCAGAGAGGCAGGCAGAGAGAGGGGAGGAGGAGAAGCAGGCTCCCTGCCAAGCAGAGAGCCGGATGCGGGGCTCAATCCCAGGACCCTGGGATCACGACCCAAGCCACCCAGGCGCCCCCCCCCCTTTTTTTTAATGTGCAAATACTATTTATACAAGTATTTCATTTTTGGTAGTTTACTTACAGTGACTTTTAGATATAGCTGCATAGTACCCTCAGAAGGTACTTAAAATTGTTATGTAAACTTAAAATGAATTCTTATGGCTACAAGTGTAAAATGAGGTGGATTAGATGATGGAACTATAGTCCCTCCTAAACCCAATTCCTTCGTTCTGACGGGCTGATGTACTCCCATTGTGTTTGTCATTTGCACAAAAGCTGTTTAAGGAAGAAAAATTGCACTTTAAAATTAAAGGAGTTTTCTATAAATTATATATTGTTCTTTCCTCTTAAAAACTTAACGAAGCGCTCTAATGTCTCTTGTCTTCTGTCATTCTGTATTTCTAAACTATAACTTCTGAGCTTTAACTGTACTATCAGAATCCTCATTCCCAGTGTCTATTACGTACCCTCAGTGTGTCCTTTGACTACTCTGTAATTCTGTTTGTTGCTTCTCAGAATGATTCAAGTAAAATAAAATGTAAATGTATACCGTCAGTAGTTGTTTGTGGAAAGAGAAACTAACATTAGGTATTGAATTTTAGAGATGCTAGATTTCTATTCGCGTATATTCCATCTAACCTTGCAATTTTCAGTATTTATCATACAGCTAGATCGTCTGATTGTTCTTTATTCGTAGCTCCCTTTTCAACTGATTTCCTGCCCCAGTCCCTTCCATATCTTGAGCATGAGGGATTTCTTACACTTTGAGCAAGGAGGATCTCAGCGGCAAACTTCCTGTGAATTTTGTGTTGCCGGATCCTTTGCACATTTGATTCTCTGTGAGAAAGAATATGGGGGGGGGAGACTAGAATACAAAGAGAAGAAACTCTTAGGAGCAACTGTAGATTTTGTTTTAGCTGCAGGGATCTCTGGTCATTCCCCCTAACTAACCAAACACACTAATTTGGCATTGCAGGGTTCTAGCAAATTCTGCCACATTCAGTGAGTGTCAGTGGAATGGAATTGGTACTTTGATCTAGTGTGTACAGCTCTGTGTTGTTAATGCTGGGGCCCAACATGGTTATTTAAAAAGCTGACTTAAAATGATTAACTGAGATGAGTGACAGAATTAAGTTCATAAAGGAGAAGCCTTCAGGGAGAAAAGAAACTCTTACCCTCAGGTTACTAATGTCAGAGGGGAGACCTCAACTAGCCAGCAGTACTGAAATGGCGTTCCGAACGTGTGCCCATCTCAGTATTAGAACTGGTCTAGAGAACCACTTTTAAACAGCATTCCCTTCCCATTTCTTCACATTTCCCTGGCCAACGAAAGTGCCCTGTGCTCTTTTCGAAGCAGTAGCTCAGGCAGGCACAGTGTTCTGGTCAAGAGCATGAGCCTCCTCGTTTTGAGATGCAAATTAGCACTTGGTTAAACAGAACTGAGTAACTGGCTCCTTCTTTATTGTCCCCATCTGCTGGTTGATGGGGCTTTGATTGTAGTTTCTCACTGGCTGTTACTGAGTCCTGTGTGCAGTGTGTGTGTAGAATCCGTTGAGTTCTAGTTTCAAATGAGGACTCTGGCAGAAAACTATTTTCAGGTAAGCGACAAAGGAGTACCACAGAAACAGCTCTTGAGGTGAGTGCAATGAAATGTTTTCTGTTACTTCATTATAGAGGTAAACTTGCTATACACGTGTGTATTCAAGATGAAATGCTACCATAGCGGAAGGCACCGTTCTTCCTCCTTCCTTCGTTCTTTCCATTGCACCTGACCTGTAAGTTAATATTTGGTACATATTCTTCATTCAACAAATAAGCATGTACCAAGCACCCAGAAGGGAATGGAAGCTTTACCAAATCAGGGAGAGCTCAAGAAATGAGCGCTGCTTACACGCAACCTCCTGTGGTCCTTTTACCTATCAGGGACATCAGGTAGGTGCAGATGACTTGAACACCAGGTCAAAAGAGTTCCTGTGACCCTGCCTTTAACTGTGGCTTAACAGCGCCCTTTTGTTACCTGATCTCCCATGGCCTCCCGTGTTCTTTTTAGCCAGGGCTACCCAAAGATAAAAATAGGATCTGAAAACAAATCCATGGCGTTCCTTCATGAAGTCCCTTAATTAAGAAGATGGTGGTTTTATGCCCTGAGTACGGCGAGCGTGAGATACAGCTCCTGATCTCAGGGAACTCACGGCTGTTTATATAGGCTGACCAGAAACTTCACACATAGCAGAGAGCGTTTCAGGAGTGGCACTCGGAGAAGGGCCAAGGAAGGGCTTCCAGGGAGCCACAGGGAAATGCCAACTGAGTCATGAGAAGTCAAAGCTAGCCACACAGGTGGCTGGGGCGAGGCCAGAGGGCTTTCCCGGTTGACGGCAGCCCTGAGACCGTTTCAGTGTGATTGCAACTTAGAGTATTCTTTTGGTTCTGGATAGAGAGGCAGAGGGCCTTATGTGTTTCTGAAAGACATTGAACAGCAAGACTAAGGTGATCACTCTTGGGCTTTAGTAATGGTCTGGCAGCAGCATGCAAGGTGGTTTGGAGAGGAACGGGACCCGAGCCAGGGGTTAGGAGGCAGCTCGAGGAGAGCAGACAGAGACAGGAGAGGAGACTAGAACAGTGTGGACAGAGA